TCGTTTTATAGAATTTTTGGACAAAAAAGAAAAAAAAAGATTCAAATAATACCGCGTCCTACATTTGCATCCCGAGATTAATGTGTTTTATTTCACTTTGCTAAAAATAACTCGAAAGGACAATGTTCGAAGATGATGGTGTAAAAGCTTCGAAGTAAGCTTCTTCTCAAGAATCTGATTAAATCAGACACGTATGTACGTGTTTGAAAACTGGCAGGAAGGAGAGTGCATTCGATTAAATCGAAAGATATTGAATGTGAAAACTTCGAGAAAGATTAGATAACGAATAAACATACATTTTTAATATATTTTGTCTTGATTTTTTTTTTTTTTTAGCAAAAAATAAACTCTAGTTGACTATAATTTCAAAATTTTAAAATGAAAAGTTTTAACTATATCAAATTAAACATCTCGAATTAAATTTAACATTGACATGTTAGTATGTGATAAATCAGGAATGCAATATTACTTTGTGTTCATTAGATCGATGATCATTGTTATCTGAATTATCTAATTACAAATTGGCAATCTAATCCTTAATATAATACCCTAATGCAGCAGACGCATAGTGTAATATCTATAGATCAAAATATTCAAAAGAAATCTTGCAAAACCTAGACTTAAACTAATGCATAGTTCTTAGCTTGGCATCGCTTTCTAAAAAATAAATATTTTTCAATATAATTTTTGCGAATCTTTTGAATAAAATTTTATTTAAAATCAAATGTTTAAAAATCTTTGGAAAGGGATACCAATTACCAGGTCTCACCAACGAGGAGGTGACTATGCATCGAGACCCATCTATAAAGAATATAATAAAGAACACAGTATATTATATATTATTAAAATAAATTTAAATGTTATATTTTATATGTTATAATTTAAATAAAAGCTTAAAAGAAATAGCAGAATAGATGATGATAAAATTAATCACATATCGGTTCATATAATTAAATATCCTTGAGCATGTTTTTCGTTATGGACAAGTATAGACAAAGAAAACAAATGGTAGGAGAAAGATAGAGATAAAGTAAAAATATTGAAATCAGCGCCATCTCCAGAGTGCCGCAAATGAAACATACAAAATAGAGACAGAAAATAATAAGAGGAGGATAGAGATACAAGAATTAATCATTACCGCCATCTCTTAGACATCAAAAATAAAAGAATCATTATAAAAATTATAAAAGTATTCAAGAGATGGCGTTCATCTTCAATTCTTATTCTACTTTATCCTGCTTATAAGTACTTCTGGCACTTAAGAGATGGCACTAATGATTGATTCTTATTCTATTTCTATCTTTTTTCTACTATTTTCTATCCTTGTATATTGAGTTTCATTTACGGCACTCTGAAGATGGCGCTGATTTCAGAATTTTTATTCTATCTCTGTCCTTCTCTCATTATTTTTTTTCTTGTCTTACATTTACTTTTAGCGCATGATTAGAAATTACGGGATGGATAGAATTATTTATTAATGTTATAATTTATTATTTTTAATTTATTAAAATTTATTATTTTAAGATTATTTTTATATATAAGAAAAAAATACTATAGCTTGATATAACTTATAAATTTTTATCTTTTTCAATTAATCTTCTGAATATATAATAACAATCGATATGTCGCAATGAAAATTATAAAGAAATAAAAGTTGTAAATAGTTAATTATATGAATTATCTTTCAACTTTCTTTTTATTTAATAAGTATTTTCTATATTTGAAATTAATGATTGCAATTGGTTGTTTCAATTTTCCTGTTACTATAAAAATTTGCAAATTTTTTTTATTTCAAATAGCTATAGGAAATATATCGTACTAATTATGATATATATAGGATACACGAAAAAAAATTGCTAACGTATCAATTACAAATTGTCCGTATATTTGACTTTACTAATAGTAATAATAGTAGTAATTTTAATCATTGTAATCATAATATACCATGGTGATGGTCATAATGGCGTACGGATAGATAGAATAATCGCAACAATAATGCAATTATAAACTATAAAAGTAATAATTAATATAATATTAAAAAAAAATCATCACTACCATCTTTGGGAAACAATGTGCAAGATGATAAAAGTAAAAATAATGGATGGAACATAGTATTAACCAAAGGAACCGAAAGTGACGAAAAGAATAAAAGGAATTCTTGCACGAAATTAAACCGCGAATCCGTTACAGGTAGCAATATTATCATTATAATATTGGAATCCCTATTATTTGTAAATGACCGTCCATACGTGTAGCATTCACTAAAAATTCTATTTTCTCTCTCTTACTCGCATACTCTCGCGCGCGCGCAATTGTTTATCACTCCCTGTTCCTTTCCTTCCATCCCAGCGCAATAGAAACTCTTTTTCTCGTTCAAAAAAACAGTCTTTCGTTGCACTAGCTAGATGTCCTCCTCTTTGCATCTAACCTTATTATGAATGCGTTTTTTTCAATATTTCGATGTTCAAAATAAGAAAATCATTAGAAATTAAACATTATATCCAAGAACATCGTAAAAATGTTTTGAAACGCATTCAAATAAATAAATATGACGTATTGATCATTTATCACATACCACGTCATATATTTATTTATGTACAAATAAATAAATGAGTGTACATTAAGTATTTTTTTATCAGAATTCAGAACTTGCCCTAATTGATACATTATTGCTGCAGATTTTTTTATTTTTTTTAGTTGAAATAATACATCAACCAAATATTCAATGTTTACTCTTCTAAGCAATAAAAAATAATTTTACACGTATACACCCTCATATTATGAAATTACAATTTTACAATTATTCAACAGTTTAGACGAAGTGCTTATTATATGTAACAAATATTTTATACACGATTTATATAAATGATTCAATGCAATTATAAAAGAAAAGATAATGTTAAATTACATAACAATTCTTATCTCAATTTAAATTTGATACGAAGTTGAAAATGTTTGAAAATAAATTCATCTAAATTACACATAGAACTATTCAAACTAAAATTATCTCTAGTGGAAAGTTCCGTGTAAAATATTCTTATTCAGAATTATAAAATATATTTGCGATATACATATAATATGTTTTAATAATTAAAGCCACAATTTTAACGTATGACGTTTATAATTCAATTCGATCAATAAAATTGTCCAATAAATTATGAATGTATGGACAAATAATAATCATTAATTTGTACAGTATTGAACGAGTAATAAAAAAAAAAAAAAAAAAATATTATTTCCTATGCATATCGCCTTATTAAGATTGTTCTTTATTTAAATATTGAACGCGTTTCTATGTTTATAAAAAATATGCGATTGTATTCGATCGAATACCTTTCGCAAAGAGGAGGGTGCAAGTTAAACATAAAAAGTATATTAAATCTTAGAAAAAATAATGAAATAGAAAAATGTTTTCTTTGCACCTTATCACTTTATGTCTCAAAAACTGCTAACATAAATCTATTACTCGTAAAAATGCAATTTATCCAACGCCACATATTACATCGTCGTGATATTATCGTCATCGCCATTATTTTAAATTGCAAGAAGTAGGACATACGAATCCATCGATTACTACAAACTATACAGTTAATAACATTAGTAATTATCTTTCTTATTCCTAATTTTAGTTATAACATTTTAGTCCATCGCTATTTTCCTATTATTTTACTGTTAAAAACAATATTATTCTCCCATTTAAAAAGGTCTTATATAAACTTGATGAATAATATATACGATTACATTTAACTGTATATCATGGGAGAAATCTTTTCGAAGAATAATATTATTACGTCAATTATAATAATCTTTATAAATGTGAAAAAAAAATACATTCAATCAAAAATTACTTTAAAAACATACATTACACACACCCCCTTGCATACATTGCTCCTATTTTCAGTTTGCGCGCGCGTCCTCTCTATATTCTCTCTTTCTTGAAATGTAAATCGCAAAAATCCATTCACACTGCATTTTGCTCGCGTATTTGCACTTACAACTATCGAGACAGTTCATATTTCTCTTATTATCATAGAAAAGTTCAGCCACTTGTTACAAACTTATTATGAAAAGTTTTTTTTTTTTGTTTATATAGATGAAAGCATCGATATTGCACAATTCTTTTGCACTTATTAAAACAATACAATATAATAATTTCTGTTACGAATCGCTAATAACTTATTATTTATACAATTTCAAAATTATTTCGGAAGATTTAGATTTTGGACTCATTCATCTTGACTTTAAAATTATTTTATGATATATATATATATATTTTTTGTTTATTTAAATACGTCTTTTAAATATGAAAAAAAATTGTTTTAATAATGATATTCAAATATCGGCAAAACATAATGAATTATTACTCAGTGTAATAATGGTTTGTGCATATATTTTATTCTTATTTATTTTCCTCTGTCAAGAGGCATATTACCGTAAAGAAGGAACCATTTTTTTCTCTCATATGCTAAGTTGCATCACGTAAGATGAATAGTTAAAAGAACACAAAAATTTTTGTACGAAATGATTTAAAAATAACAATTTCGCTTGTAAATTTTGCAAAAACAATTGAAAATATTGTTGAGATATTTTATTGAATGTTTGATATTTTTTTATTAATGTGCAATTACTCGAGCAAACATATCGATATAGATTATAATGGTCTTGTGGATAAAAATGATAATAGTTATGGTGGAAGTGATGATGATGATGATGGTAATAGTGGTGGTGATGACGTTGACGATGACGATAACAATGTTGACGTCGCCTACGACGACGACGACGATGATAACGAAGAAGACGAAGAAGACGACGACGGCGACGACGAAGACGACGTCGACGATGATAATGATAATAATGACAATTGTAATAAGACTGAAAATGATATTGATAATGTTGTTGACTCCAATACGAACATTGCTTGCTTTCCATGGCCTTAAATCCTGGCAGTGAAAAACGAATTAACATGAATGGCGATGATGCGTATCTCGATATACGAGAAAGATTTTGTGTCCTTATTCGTAAAGATAATTTGAGGGCCAGATTTGGCCATATTCGGGATCACCAGTTAGCCATGCCAGGTTTATTTAATGTCATGAAGTAAATCTGGCACGCACTTCCGCCTTTAGCTGATGAGAAAAATACCTAAAATAACCAAATAATAAAAATACAATATATTTAAAAAATTGTTAAATTATATTAATATAAATATTCACGCATATCTTATCATTATAAATAGTCACGTATACCTTATCATTACGCTCGCAAAGGAACTTGAGCCGTTGAGCTTTCTTGTGCATGAACACACCATCAAGGTGTCCACTTTCTACGCTTCTAATCTCAATAGCTTTGTTACCCCAGCCCATAATTTGTCCTGTACCGATATATGCAACACTAGTGGGCATTTCACCCCATTGAAGAACCATGGTTTTGGATAATCTACCATAAGTATTCACGTATACACCCTCATTATCGTAACATAACAATAATTGCATGCCGTTACTGTTTGGTAATGCAACGATACAATGTGGACAAATAGGGCCTTGAGTCTATGATTAAAGACAAATGTTTCGACAATAAATTTATGAATAAAGATTAATTATTTTAATAAATATTATTTACTCACATGTTTTGGTAGATAAATATCATAAACCGTAGCAGAATCCAAATCAACAGCGTGAAAACCATCGGCGCTACCATAAATAACTTTCAATCTGGAACCCTCTTCTATAGTAAGATCGACAAGTAATGGTCTGTGTGCAAGTTCACTAAACGATTTAAACGCCATGAATTTATGATAAGGTTTCGGAGCCCAAGCATAAATTTCTATCGAATCTTTCAATGCAATGACAAGAAACTTTATTCTTTCGTATTTGACTATCTTAAAATGTACCGCACCCTGAAGATCTCCAACATTAATCCAGCCATTGCGCCGTTCAACTTGCTGCAATAATATCAAATATTATTTATTAATTGCAATTTAATATATAATTGCAATAATATGTAACAGATCAAGAAATATAAAACTTACATCGCTATGTCCATCCGTTCGCAAAATTTTACTCTTAAGCCAAGAAAGATAATATACCCGTACTCTATTCTTTTTTCCACTAATTGTAACCAAAATATTTTGTCCTTCAAGAACTTCCATTTGTTGAAATCGTCTTCTACTTATTAATTGATATACTTTTCCTTGACCACTTCTATCCAATAATACAAGGCCATTTTCGGTACCAATTAATAGATTTACTCCTGCAAATATTGTACTGATCATTAAGAGTCTTCTTAAGGAAATGTATATGTATGTATTCATGTAATTCATTTATACCCCAAAGCGCAGCACAAAGAATTTCACTGTTGAATCGTTTCTTATATTTGCGTATTTCAGGTGTATCAGATGTAAGGTCATGGCTGGTCGGTGTCACATTAACATTTACATGAGATTCTCTTCTAGCTGGTCCCGCACCAAATCCAAAGGTCAAGAAAGATCTCTGCTTCTGTTGATGTGCAAGTAGTTGTGGTGATTTAACTGCTTGCCGGTACTGCAACAAAAAATATCTTAAAGTTAAACTGGAACATATGAAACTAGAATAAAATAGAAATTAAACCATTAAGAAATATATATATATATATATGTTATATATATATGTTATTATAATTGATAATGCAATCAAGACACAAAGTACGATAATTGATAGAATATATTGATTAAAATAAAAAATAGAATATAAATATATATCTAATGAGGTGATAACATGCAATAAAAGAAATAGAAGATACTTATTAAAATTATAGAAACACAAAAGTTTTTCAAGACAATTTGAAGCAGATAACGAATATATGTATTTCATATACTACAAATAAATGTACAAAAAAAATATTAAAAATACTACTTGGAAGCAAAACAAGATTTCCAATACATTCCTTTATACATTTCCAAAAATCTAAAATTGATATAGTTTAAGAAACATAAAAGAAATAATAAAAATTAGAATAAACAAGGAAGACAGATCACAAACCTAAGAAGGATGAAAAAGTGAACAAGCAAGTGAGAGAGAAAAAGAAAAAGAGAAAGGAAGAGGTGAAGGAAAGAGAAGCTATGTGAATAATAATTGAATTAGAGATTGGTTCCATTCTAAGAGATATCCATTCTAAAGAAAGAACCCGCAAAACCAAAACGAGTGTACGACGAAGTAATAATAAATAAGAATGTTTATCATTCCATGCATGTTGCACGGTGAATAGTTAAATAAAAAAAAATAAAAAAAAAAAGAAAAAACAGAAAATTTTGTTGAGTTTTTTTTCTCGTTTCCTTTGCACACAAGAGATAATATCCTTCTATAAGAGGAGGAAAAAGCAACACTGAACTAAATTCGATATCGAATGAATACTTACATGATAATTAGTATTGGGATTGGGATGGTCAGTAGAAAGGGCCTTGCTCTTCGGATTAGAGCTCCCACGCGTCCCACAACACACAACAGAATCCTTAATTAGTCACGCTGACAAACGTAATGGGACTATTTTTGCGCGGATTTTTGCGCATAATAAAAAAAACATAAGTATATATAATAGTGTAATGATTTAATAATTTCTAATAATTGATCATAAATTCGTTTTTTTTTTCTTTTAAATTAATAAAAGTCGTTACTCTAGTTTTATTTTTCGCTTCGTCTAAGTGAAAAAAATTAAATTGTTCGTAGCTTAATAAATAAGCCTCGACACTTTCGTTCAATATCAACTTTTATGCTCGTTTCTACTCTTATTTTAGAATCGATCCTCAAAAGATGGGATATATCATAAGACCCTGTGTAAAATTGAAACACCTGCGTGTTCTATTGTGCGAAAATTCTGTTCCAAATCCAAGATGTTCATGTCCAAACATCTTTCTCTCCTTATTAGCAAAATAACGGAATTGCATCGCGGAGAGCATTAGAAGTGGAAACGCGTGAGATATCCTACCAACTTCAACAAAGTTTTAGAACAGAAAGGTGAAAGAGGTGCTTGAGAAATATCAGTCATTGGCAGGCACTAGTCTAAAGTATAATACAAAAAAAAAAAAATCGCAAAATAAAACGAAGCGATAATATAAATATAAATCGATAAATTTAAAATAAAAATTTTAAGAAGCAATGAGAAAATTATGATACTCTGCCAAAATTCTATTATTTTTATTATCTTCCTTAAAATATATAGAATCATATTGTAAAATTATATTATTTTCGAATAATTTATCCTTGCAAAATTATTGCAATAGTAATCAAAATCGAAAGAGATAATCATTAATGAGATAATATTCTTTAAGTTAAGAATTTAATTATGTTCAATTTGAAATATTTTAAGATAAAGAATATCGTAAATATTCATTATATCGTAAAAATAATCGGAACAATATTAGAAAAATGGAAGGATAAAAAATGGACCCTTGTCCTATATCTATCATACTTCTATAATTTCCTATACCAATCGTACTAAAAACTATGAATCACATATTAAAGCTCGCTATCGGTGACTACAAAAAAAAAAAATGATAAAAGCAACAACAATTTCAATTCGTCTCTTTCGAAATATTTATTATTTCAAAAAAAAAAAAAAAAAAAAAAAAAAAAANNAAAAAAAAAAAAAAAAAAAAAAAAAAAAAGAAAGAAAGAAAGAAAGAAAGTGCATTAAAAGCGAAGCAAAGAAAAAAAAATCGATCGATCTTAAAGTGCAAAACTATACAATGATGAAATAAGAAAAAGACAAGATCTCGAAATGCGATCAATTATGCTGTTGCTTTTAATCTAAAATATACCGTACTTTGTCAACATTTTTTTCAGAATCTTTTTTTTCTTTTCTTCACCCTTTTTTTTTTCTGTCTTATATTTCTTGGTGGTAATGGCTGTCATGCTCATGTAATATATTTTCTTATACGTATATAATATATATCGTGTGAAACAGGTCATAGGGACACGCGTGGAACACGTTAACTATGAAGAGTAATACAAAAAAAATCAGCGATCATGGACAATCAACGAGATCCCCATTTATAGATAGCATTTGAACATTGTGAAACGAGTCTGAATGCGTGGAAATTTTGCACATTCGCGTATACATATAAATGGAGAAGATGAAAAAAAAAAAAATAGAAAGAGAATATGGAAAGAAATATATGTTTATGTACATTTTTTTATGTGGAAAAATATGTATCTAACCTCTTCACTTGTTGTTTTGTCCTGTCGTTGGCCAGGTGACGAGGTGAGGAGATCCGGTAACACGGAGCTTGGTCGAGATCCAGGGGATGAATCCGACCTCTGGAAGTCACCACCGCTGCCTCCGCCTCTCGAACGATCACCGCTTTCTCGATTCTACAAAAACATGGATTAATATTTTAAGTGGTAGCCGATGTTAGTTACGTAGAGAAAATAGTGGAAAGAAAGTCAAAGAAAAAAAAAAAGTATCTGCTGAAAATTTGAAACCTGAATTCTTTTTTTTTTCTTTTTAATTTATTTTATTTACTAATTTAAAGTGGATCTTGTCAATATAATATTAATGAATTTTTTTGCTTAAATTCTTTTTCTATTAAATATGAAAAGTAGTAAGTAGAAAACTCTGAAAGAGTTAAGAATAAAATTCAGGTTTTGATAAAAAAAAAAAAAAAAAAAAAGCAAAATCAACGAATATTTTGAAGATCGAATTGAGTAATAGGCGAAGAAGAAGAAGAAGAAGAAGAAGAAGAAGAAGAATATAGAACGAAAGGGAAAGGGGAAATGATGAAATTATGGATAAATGGGGTGAAGAAGAGAGAATTGATCGAAGACAAGCAAAACACTTAAAAAAAAAAAAAAATACAATAAAGAAAATAAATAAATGCACAAGGAAGCAACAGAGTAAATCATTAAATAAAGTAACTTAATTAGTTTAACAAGTCTATATATCGATGAAAAATATCTATAAATATAAAAAATGAATGGATTACTTGAACACTCGAGTTTCAATAATACTCGTACGATCAATGATATAAAAAATTATATTTTATACTTGCAAGAGAAAATATTCAACTCACACGCTATAAAATTTGATAAAATTTATATGAAAAATAATTCTTAAAAAAATAATTTGATACGTATTTTTTATTATCGGCTGTAATATTTTTCCAATTTCAAATTTTAAGGATTGTTTTCATTCTTCTATTTTCACTTCGACGCGAATAACAATTGATAAAAAATATAGAAATTGATTATTTTTTTGAGAAATTTTTTTCAAAATTTATTTATCAAAATTTAATACGCATGAGTTTTATATTTTTCCCTCGTTAAACGTAAAATATTATTCGAAATCTAAATAAAATTCATGCACGCTAATTAACAATGAATTCGTAATAAAATTGTTCGTTTTCATTTGTCTACTGTATATAAAAAAAAAACAAACAAACAAACAAACATATAAAAATACACACTTTCTAAGATAATAAAATGGAAGCAGGGGATAAGCAATTCGAGGGTGATTTTTGTACGTATATTCGTAACATTAGCAAAAAGCGTGCAACAAGGTGATATATAATATTTTGCCACGAAATTGTTGTACATTTTCGAGTTTGTAATTATTGCATTCATAGTTTTAATTATTTTAAACTAAATATATATATATGTATATCATCTTTTAACGCAATATACACATTACTTAAGATATTACACATCTTACTGTCACCGTATATATTTTATTTTCCAGCACAATACAAACGAGAAAAATGACACTGCTAATCTGGTATACAGTTACGTGTACAGCTAAAATTCGAAGAGATATATAGTAAAGTTAAACTTGATCGCAAAAAATACGTTTGGTGAGATGAAACACGCATAAATAATTAAGAATACGTTTGAAAATTGACAATAAATAGCATAACGAGTTCTTCATTTATTTTTTCGTTTTTTTTTGTGTATAATTATCATAGTATCAATTATTTAAAATCGATTACACGTGTTATAATTTGATTAAAATCAGAGATCGTATGGCGAACACATAACAAATAATTCTAGCGTCAAGTGTTCTAGCAGAAGCACAGAAAAAAATTGTCAATTTTCTGCATTATATGGTAGAGATTTTATAAAGGTAACATTAATTGAAAACACAATTTCATACCATGCCCAAGAAACACATTGAATTGAAAAAAAAAAAAATAAAAAATAAATAAATAAAGCATGCTTGGCACATGCTGCGAATATAGCAAAAAACATATATTATCACATGTATCAAATCAAATTAAGCATCATGCAAGACAATAAAGTCTCAATCATGATTTTATACTTTGAATACTACCACAAAAATTTTTGCAAGCTAAATATACATTTATGCATCTGACATGTAACATAAAGGTGTGTACACGCACACACGCAATAGCAGTTTATACTCTTTGAAATTTCTTTCTTCGTTAACATACACACACATACACACATATTTGCACATAATATTTCCCATTTTTTTTTACTTGTAGATAAATTTTTTTATAATAATCACAATTTTTTACGTTTTTCAAATAATTGTAAGATATCATTAACGGAATAAACCTATAGAATTTACATCAATGATTAACGCAGTGCTGTCCAAATTTCATTCACGAGAAAATCAAAATTATCTTGATTTTTTATCTTGAAAGAAATTAAAACATTTGTTACATGCCTAATTTATATAAGTTTATAATTTCAAATTTTATATGTTATATTGATCGAGAAAAATTTATTAAGTAAAGAAACTTGTATCAAATTAAATATAAAAAAAATACAATTATTTCATGAAAAAATATTCAAAATGTTTTCATCTTCCTAAATCTTATCGAGATCGTTATTCTCATCATTTGTTCTTTTTAAAATTGCATTGAAATTTGATGTTTAAATCCAAATTATAAATTTTGTAAGGTCTAGAAATCCTAAAAAAATAAATAATGTCGAAATAAATAAGCCATTTTCATTTCTTGAACTACAAAGCATATCACCGTCACTCTACGTACGTAACTATGGAATATATAAATAAATACCTCTACTTAATGTACCTTCAATGGACAGCACTGAATTAATGGTTTCCATTCCCATCCTTTCTTCCCATTTATTTTTTCTATAGATATAAAGAGAATAATCTTTATATTTAAGAGAATATTCACATAACAATTAGTATCGCTCTGTTCATTTGTTTAAAACTGTTTCGAATTGAAAAGCTTGAGTATACATGCATTACATTTTTGAATAATTGACATATTATAATGTTATATTAACATTATAAAATAAATTAAAAAAAAAAAAAAGAAAAAGAAAAAATTATCGAAAAATTTTCATTCATTAACTAGAATCGTACATGCAAGAAAGTAACAGAACAACACTTGATCGCTATACCCTCGTAAGATTTTCACAAGGATATATATAAAATATAAATTAAATATTTTTAAATAATGACAAATTCGAACGATCGATCGTAGATTCCAGAGCAACACTTTTTTATTCATCCTATGTACCGAGAAAACTGTCAATTAATTTTATACGAATTGACTTAAATAAAATGTGAATAAAACGACATTTAACCTAAAAATCAATCGTCATTAATTTCATCACAAATATCTTTTACGCATAAAAAAATCTTTAAATTTAATATCATAATTTGACAATTATGTCACCTATATATATTTGTATCAGAATTAGAATATTGTAAAAATATTTTGATCGATAATAATTACCGTGTTGCCTTGTTAACTTAACGAAAAGAGTCGAAGATGAAAAAAGAAGAAAAATGAAAACGTGACGTGAAAATAACGTTAAACCTATACGTAGATGTGCATGACGTGAAAATAATGAAAATGACGTAGACATACGGTAGAAACACTTTCACAAATATTTTTTTAACTGCTCTTATTTTTTTTTTTTTTTTTTCTTTCAGAATCCCGCGACGTTTGGCTGCGACGATCGTAGGAATATTAGCAGTTTCCCTTCACACGTTGGTAATGTAGAAACAAGACGAATATATCCTCAAAGAAATTCCATGCGGTTAATCCTTCTCTCTCTCTCTCTCTCTCTCTCTCAGCCAATGGAATTCGAAAATATAAAGATAGATATCGTTGTAACAATACGATTTCGTATTTTCTGCATTGCATTAAATATTCGTAGATCACTCGAAAGGAAGGAAAGGATTAGTTCCAAAAGAAACGGAGCGATAGTAGCAGTGGCAATAGTGATGATGACGATGATTTATCCGATGATGGTAATGTTAGTGGATGACATTGACGATACTAGAAATAGCGCGCTCTATGTTAATAGTAGTATTAGAATTCCTGAAAATGAAGCCATTCCTCTTTTCACATGTTTTTCTACGTTCAATAATGAATTCTGGTCCTTGTTAAAAATCAATGAACAATATTATTTACAATGTAAATACGAAATAATATTTTTATGGAAAAATATTATTTTGTATTGAATATTTTACGGAAATAATATTAATATTTTTGTTTGAAAAGTATGTATTTACATGACGTTTCACTAAATTCTATATTGATATGCGCATATATTAACCGGTGCGTTTTTCCTTTCTCTGTTTTTTTTTTCTATTTTTCTTTTGATTTCTTTTTCTATTTTTGTATTGTTTACTTTAATAATATTTACATGAAAGAAATATTTTTGTATAATATACACATAATATACAAAATTTAATTAAAATTAAAATTCTATTTTTTATAAAATTTCTTTTATATTTTTCCAAATATTTTTAAAGATTTTTTTTTAATGAAGTTAAAATTAATTAATTTTCTAATGAAGTTAGTGAAACGTTATATGTATACTTTCATTAAATATCATTAGTACTTTTGTAATTAGAAATTAAAGTTGACAAACAATAATAAACCATTAAAATGATATTAATAAGAATAACATTATTGTAAGTATAAGTAGTATTGTTAGACAACAAATATAGCAATATTGTTAATAATAGCGTTAGTACTGTTAATTATAATAGTAATAACAATAATAATAGCATAATAATAACTATGAAAGTACCAATAAAATGTTATCAAAAATAGAATTTTCCGAATTTTTAACCCTTCTTTTGAATTTAATCTTCTATAATTATAATATTATTTTATATTTACTTTTTATTGGAAAATCTTTTACAATCCTCTTTATCTTATTTATTCAAAAATAAATTTGTTGAATTAAAATATGAATAAAATGCAAATTATGTAACAAAGGATGATACAGAATAAAATTAATCAAAGAAATCTCGAAATGATTAATGCGTTTAAATAATTTGAAAAGTGTCATAATACGAAAAAAAAAAAAAATTATTGTGTACGAACATCAAAACAAAAAGCGAGAAAAGATAAGTTTCGTTAATAATATGAAAATGTTTTCTTTACTGTGTTAGAATTATTATAACGATATTAAAACACTATAATTAATATAAATATGTTGTTAATTCCATTGTACCAGGTATATAAATTATTCAAATTCTCTAACGTTCCTCTATGAAGCTTTGTGCGACCTTATTCGAATGAATAATCTAGTAAAAATAGTAGGAGAGTAATACTGGTAACAGAATATACTGATAGCGCTAATAGTTGTGTCCTACTGAGTGTCTGTAGAAAATCTGTAGAAATAATAAAAACAGGAAAGGTAACAGGAAAATGCGCCTAGAATTCGAGCGTAGCTGACTAGCTTTCTATATCGATTTTTGTAATAATATGCCGTTAGATATTTGGAAAAGAAAAGGATACAAAGGTTCGATGATAAAATATGCCTGTCGATCTTAGTTTCCAAAATAATTCGAAAATCAAACTAGTTATCAAATTATCGAAAAATTTATTTATAAAAAAAAAAAAAAAAAAAAAAAAAAAAAATTAGCATCAAGCAAAATTCATTAGGGTGCAAATATATTTCAAGAGTTAAAATTAATTTCTTACCAATGGACATTACGTTGAGCGTGAAAGTTGCAACCACTCTCGACGCAATGCTTATAAATATGAACAGTACACTCTTAAAAAAAAAAAAAGAGAAAGAGAAAAAAAAATATCGTCACGCACTTTCGATGCAAGGAAAGAAAAAAATTATTCTTTTGAAACATCGACAGACACTTGGCAAGGAAGACGATGATCGTTGACGAAAAATAATTAACATTAGGATGTTGAAATTGGTACGCGAGTATGGACAGAGAATAAAATCGAAGGTAGAGAATAAAAGGTGATGCAAATAGGTATATAATATATCTGTCAGGCAAGCACACAGGCAGGGCTGATAGGGGGGACTGACCTGGGTGACAATGGGGCTGTACTCGCTAGCCGTTGTACTGGCCGTAGATTTAATCGTTCCCGCTTCGTCAACCGCGGCGGAAACCGCATCTGATGGCCTACAACATCGTCTCCTCGCGGTGTCATCTTTATCGCGTCCAAAGTCGAGCCTTCTTGCCTCGTGCCTACTACCAAAAACGATCTCGCTCTCGGTTTTCTCCCTTCTAGGCCTCTGAACACCGTCACGACCGAACGAGAAGTCTGTAAGGATCGGTTCACCTGCGCTCACAGCGCTCCCCTTTTTCCCGGCGATACCGGCAACGCTTATCTCGCTGCCACGCCTGTTACCGCTCGAGAATATGCTCGATCTCGAGGAGTCCGACTTCTGTAAATATGCAGAGTGTCTCGCGGATGGGAAAAAGTCGGAATTCTCACGGCGGAAAGCGCGTGCAAAAGCGCTGGACGTGTTGCCAAGCTTCGAGTCGCTCTCTTGCCGTCTGTGCACCGCTTTCAACTGCTGTTGCTGATGCTTTTGATGATGCTGTTGCTGTTGTTGATTATCGTACTTTCTGCGAGATGACAATTGCTCCTGCCTCTTTAACGTTTTCTCCGTGGACGAGGAGGAAAGGTGATTCTCGTTAACGGAGGAGGGAGGCTTGTTGCTCGCCTCTGCGCTCGACGACGACTCTTGCGAGGATTCTTGCTGTTTCATTTTATCCAATCGTTCGTTAAAACCTTGGAAAAAACGGGTGAAATCCCACTCTTTGAGCAGGAGTTGCTCCTCAGCCTCGGAGCGCCGGTTGTTGTTGTTGTTGTTGTTGTTGTTGGTGGTGGTGGTGATGGTAGTGTTGTTGGTGGTGTTCGCCGTGCGATCGTCTGACATCTGACTAAGTTTCTAAGGGAGGCGTTCGGACGAGGAGGGTAAACAAAAAATGTGACAACAAAAAAAAAAAAAGAAAAGAAAAGAAGAGAAGAGAAAAAAACATTCGCACGAAAAGAAGAAAATGATTGGCGTGCGGTTATACAATAACGCGGGCTAGGCTGTGATATATGTATGTATATATATATATATATGGTGGCAGTGCATTGCGATCAAGTGTAATAATATCAACCGGTCAAATGTATATTCATTTCTCTAACGTATTGGTGGCACACGTTGCACACGAAGCAAGATAGTATAAAATAATATCTACTATATATATATACACGTGTATATATAGTTTGTAAGAATATATTACGCGATATTATCAATATAAGAAATACTAGTACGACACATGAAGTTACATGGAACGAAAGATTCGTGAGATTCTGACCGATCTCATTTATCCAACTTTATTGGAAGGAATCATCGTTCAAACAAAGTTGAAAAAAATTTGAATTATTCGTTTGGCTTAAATTATACCGAATGCATACGTTAATTAATATCTTTTTGCGATATATACACAATTATGGAATCTGTAGTTGTACTCTTTATATATATACATCGTGATATCTTGTCAATCGATTCACGATGATTTCGCCGATTGTTTTTCCTCTTTTTATATTTATATTCTTTGTACATTTTGTTTTAATCTTTTAACGCTGGAATGGTGACAGAATACGTATAATGATAAGTAATTAATCGTATGAAAAAAACATAAACATACAAACAACGCATTTTTAAGATCATATTTAAATTGCAGAAGAATAATGGATAATAATGGATAAGTAAATTTTCTTTTCTCTATTGACTTATTTTCGACTTATTAATACAACATATAACACAACAGAGAGATATATCTATAAAAAGGGGAAATGGAAATACAATGCAATCGTTCGTATTTTCTTTCTTTCTTTCTTTCTTTCTTTCTTTCTTTCTTTCTTTCTTTCTTTCTTTCTTCCATTTCTATTTAAATTCGATCTCGATAATATTAAAGCATGTTTAAGAATGAGAGAATTTAAAAAAAAAAAATACATGGACCGCTTTATGAGAATAAATAAACGATATAAGAGTAAAAAAATATTACATTCAAACCGAATACGAAGATCGATCGATCCGTATCTCATTATCAATACACATAGAAAACGACAAGAAGGCGCTAAAAAATGTTACGTTGACTTGCAATTTGCATTTACGCATAATTAGACAACAATCACTTACCCGTTTCATGACTAGCGTACGATCTCCTGATTCTTCTTCGTCGGGGGTTGGTGGAAGTGGGCGATTCGGTGCTCCGCCTGTAAATACAAAATAAAATGTAACTACACATATAACTTTATAATGATTTTAACTGTACTTTTTACAATGATATTTCAATTTTATAGAATAAAAATCTATAAGAAAATTTTGTTTTTATATCTTTCGAATAAGCAGTTTCTATATCTATATCTATATATATTTATTATATTTATACAAGGTGGGGCCCTTGAAGTGTTTACAAACTGTTTTTTTCAAAATTATTACAGATATCGATGTGCTTTTTTTTCTTAAAATTAGATTAGTTGCGATGAAGGCTAATACAACATTATTACTCATTTAAGCGTCCGAATTTTGTCTCACTTAAGGCAATCGTTATCCTCACTAATTTTTAAAAATAGAAAGGAGCGAGTTTCGAACGTATTGAATGAAACTTGATACCAGTCATTTCGACGGTCATATCGATGTAACATATCGATATCTCTTGTTTCAGTTGAAATCATTTCTTTACTTAAGAATCCATATTTATTCTTGTAAACGCTTAAGTGTGCAATATTGTATCGTCCTCTTCAATTATAATATTCTATTTAATACAAAATATATGAGCAAATTGAATAGAGAAAAAAATATTAAAAAATTAATTGTTCGATGTCCTACCTTTCGGCTTACCTTCGAGGTGCGAGTTCTGAGCATTGTGCGACGATGTCGACGATGGATCCGCGGATGGTCTGAAAGGAGAAAATTCGGGTCTGCAGCAACGGGAATAGAAATGATGGTCGTAATGGCGTACGAACGAATACGTTGTGTGCGTTGCGATGGCGATGCGAAGACGACGATTCGAAGCGACATGTTGAAGCGTAATGAAAGATGAAATCAAACAAAACAACATTAGTAAGATTAATTTAACTATTACCCATGAAATACATAAAAATATAGAGTATACAATGGTTCCTCGAATTTTGACTAATTAGTCTTAAAACATTAGAGCCTTGTTGAGAAGTGGCATCCCAATATGGTTTTGAACAGGAGTATCAATCTGTTTGACAATGACATGACAATGTAATTGAATATTTTAGAAAAATTTTCAAAATAAATAAATAAGTATATATGATAGACAAAAAAATAAATAACATGAATAAGACAGATATTTCTCTTTATAATAATACTAATTGAAGATAATTATTATTTAATTAATTATTATGAAATATATTTTTTACATATATATTATTTTTAAAAACATTCAATTACTGAACTCTTCTTTTATCATTATTATTAAATTTAAAATATTTTGTATGATATAAATGTTTTGGAAGAATAAACTAATTCAATTTATATTATTTTAAGTTGAAATTTAATTTGAAAGTTGAAACAGATTGTATTCGAAATTCAAAGACTTAATGTAACTATAAGTATTTTGAGTTTCTTATTTACTATTTCAAATTTCTCATACAATTTTTTCTAATAAATAAATTAAGTAAGTATTTAATTTACTTTCTATAAGTAAATTAAATAACAATTTAAATATATACTTGTTCTTAAATTATAGTATTACACTGTTGTTTTGTAAGTTAACCGAATAATGAAAATAGATATAAACTATATCTTTTTTTATTAGAAATGAAAAAGTAATATTTATGATAAATGTTATTTAATGAATGAAGGATTAATCGTTAAACGTATATTTTATCCATTTTCACCAAATATATAATATAAATCTTCGACTTACAAAGGTTTTGGTGGATCACTGGCAAGTAATGTACCATCATTCCTCGCATTATTTCCTCCTGCATCTTCGAGGTCATCATCACTATCACTTTCAACGGATAAAGCCTGTAAAAAAAGAAATATTTTTGAACTTATATAATGTAATTTATTCTTCACATAATAAAATTATCATAATAAATGCTATGCACTAAGACTAACTATTAACTGGAATTCAAAAAAAAAAAAAAAAGGAAAATTACATAAGAATATAATACTTACTTGATCGAGTATACTGGAAGACTGTGGCATTTGTTTATTGTTTTGGTCATTACTGCTCGCAGGCTGACCGGAATTCGACGTTGATGATGGAGCCTTATGCTGCCTGTTTGGCCTTGGCGGGGCCTCTGGGCCCTGTGACACACCAAGCTCGTTGAGTTGAGCGGCCAGCATGTCCAAGTCCTACCACCCACACACACACACGCACAACCCCGTTAGTCACTGTTCCGAAACACCTCCAATAATTGTTTAAAAGCCGCCACCAATCAGCCAGGCGAAGCAGATGACAGAGATACAATATATATACGAACTATTTCTATTCCTTTTGATTATGTTTTAAGATAAAAATTACTAAATTATTGAAAAATTGCTTCATTTTTTTTATATGATGAATTATTAAATGGACAAACATGTATAGACAATTATTAGGTAAAATATATTTTCCAATGCAGTTAGATTGAACATGAACCAAAAGGACACTGACAAACACATTTATTTCCCTGTTAAATTAAATATGTTACATTTTTATTACATTAAAATGTGATGAATGAAATTTTAAATTATTTTAAATATTATTTCTGAATTAACTTATACATATCCTGCTATACAGTATGTATTGTGTTTTATATATTTAATGCAAACATGTATTGCGTTTAATGCATTTAAAGCAATATATAATCGATTTTCGTGGAAGCATACATTCAGGTAATTTGTCTGAAGCATTCAAAAATGTTGTATTATTCTTAAATATAATAGGAACTAAACATGATAGGAATAAATAATACACATTTAATAAAGATGAAATTTAGAAATCATTTGATTGTTTCTGTATAAAAATAAACCAAACAAATTATTTAGTAATACCAGAAAGAGTATATTATAGCCGCGTGTAACGCTGTTTTATAAAATTGCACGTATAGATAATTAAAAATGTTACGCGTAGGGATATAAGAATACATGTCACTGTATTATGTATAAATGTAAAAAAATGAGAATGTAAGGAGAAAAATAAGTGTATGTGTTTCTTACCTCTGGTTTCCTTGGAGGCAGCTACGGTACGTGTGAACATGGAAAAAAAACAAAAACCGAATAATTTCAAATCTACGTGCAAGATCCGCGGGTATGTATTTCTGTATGTATATGTATGTGTGTGCACGCGTGTCACGTTTATAAATGCAATTAATTATACGCACGCTAGGAAATAATTATGCAATTATATTTGCATACACGCCAGCGACTCAATAGCAAAATAGAAGAAAACTCTGCGTGCTACTGATAAAATATGTTTATTTGTTTATAAAAATATAGCAAAAGAAAAATATAAAAATATATATACAGTGTGCTTGATTTAATTAAGATTAAATAGCAATAATTAAATATCTCGAAAAATATAGAAAATACAAATGCAATGCTTTTCACATTTTTTGAGAAATTTAACAATTGCCATTTAAACCAAATACACTATATGTATATTGCAAAATATATTATATACAAAATACACTAAGTTAATAAAAGGCAGCAAGAAGGCAAAATAGGGTAAAAACAGCATGTGCTTGTCTACGATTTTTATAAATTAGATTGAATCATTCAATGTTAGAATCTGCTATTTCACTAATCTTAATAACATTAATAAATATCTGAAAAAAAAAGATATTTCCTAAAAGAATAATTATCATAAACAATTCTAACGATAAATGACTCATTTTATATATTTTATTGGCATAAAATAAGTGCGAAAGGAGAAGTTGCAATACTAAAATAGAGAGAAATAAAAAACAATAAAAACTTACCATAGGTTTAAAAACATGACTATTTCTTTGTGATGCTGATTGTCCACCGGATCCTCCACTACCGCCTCCACCAATAAGAGGTTGATGATTAGAGGGTGGTGTCGAAACTTTGTGAGGTTGTCGTGGATCATCTCTAGGTGTCGGAGGTAATGGTCGAGACGGTGGTTGTGGGTCTGGAACTACTATACAGCGCAAAATAAATATGTAACATTTAAGAAATCCGATTCGTTGTTAGAATTAATAACAACTTTATATTAATCAAGCAATTTTATATATAAAATGTATCCTCAGGCTAAAAATAATTAATTAATGATATATTATTAAACGCACCGATTAATCTGTGTGGAATGGCAGGTCGTGCAGGTGGTCCTGGCTCTGGTATATCTCTTTGAGCTCTGCTACTGGGTTTTTCTTTAGCAGCAGGTGGTTGAGGATTTACTTCTTGAGTTAAAGTTCTACCTTCCTGAATTTGCTGGAAATTCCTACGCAATGTATCACCACCAGGTGCTTGAACAATGGATGATGCTTCACCAGCTAATGCTGGTTCATCTTCTTCATTCTCACTACCACTATACCGATAATCGTCTCTTTCTATATAATAAAATATAAATAAAGAAGTATTATTAAAAATTTTGTTTATAAATAATTTCTTAAAATATTTTTCAATAGATTTTTTTACCTTTCTCCTGTTTACGCTTTTTACAGCGATCAATATGATCTTTAAGTTGTATCCTAACTTGTCTTTCCGTTGGTTGGTCCCGAATAAATGGATGTTTAAGGAGTTGTTCCGTATACGGCCTTTGATGATAATCTTTTACTAAAACCGTTTCAATAAAACCGTGGAATTTCTTCGCCCACTTTTTCGATTTGAGTCTTGGTGGTGGATTACGTGGGATCAGAAATAAAGCCTTTTGTGTGAATTAAGCATAATCAATAAAATTAAATTTCACCCTTTTAAAACAAAATAGTAATATACGATAATTGTGAAGGATATTTATACTTATTTCAGATACTTACCCGCATTGGATGAAGATCGCAAAGTGGAGGTTGTGATTCAGCCATTTCTAAAGCGGTAATTCCCAATGACCAAAGATCACTTCTGTTATCATATGTAGCATCAGGATTTTCATCACAGGCTATTACTTCTGGAGCCATCCAATATGGCGTTCCAATAAATGTATTTCTCCTACCTATTGTCCGATCTAATTGTGCACTAACGCCAAAATCAACTACGGTATAATGAGATTAACATTAAAACATAGTTTTAAAAATATATATATTAAATTGAAATATTAATTATTAATATTTTAATAAAGATTTTAATATTTAATAGGCATTGAAAACACACCAAGTTTAACTTCAGCATTATCGGTTAATAGAACATTTTGCCCTTTAATATCCCTGTGTATAACTTTATTGCTGTGAAGATAACTAAGTCCTCTCAATATTTCCCGCGATATATACGCAATCCATTCCTCCTTTAAACTCTGGCCTTTAGTTGACTTGACCAGATCTGTAACGGAGCCAGCTCCGCAATATTCCATAACCAACCACAACTGATCATCTTTTCCTGGTGATGACTTCTTCACGAAGGCACCGTAATACGTTGCTATATTTCTGTGATTCGAATACTGTGACATATGATAAAATATAAACAATTTCATCTTGTTTTTTTTCCAGTTCTATTTAAAGCCAACAATATTCAATACTCACCCTTTTTAATACATTAATTTCTAATTTGATTTCTTCCTCTTCATCCTAAAACAAATAATAATAAAAATTGATTAATTTTCAATATAAATAATTCAGAATTATCTTAATCATTCTTATTATTAATCATTTTATAATAGTTAAATTAGTTATAATAGTTAGCTAAAAATTATATTAGTTGTTTTTTTATTAATTTTTGAAGATCTATAAAAATATATCTGTAAAAATATTTCTATGATATATATATAAATATTTGTGTGAAACTTTTATAATTACAAAAATTAAATTGTTTGTAATATAAAAAATAAATTGAAATTACATAATCAAACGTATTTATTGTCTTCCAAGAAACAATCATCATAAGGCCAAAAACCTTATTATTATTTTCCAACCGCAACCAGATAATAAAACAATTGTCACTTGTGAATTAAATTATTACTTAGTATACAAGCAGCAACCTTGAATAACCTTGAACCACTTGAAATGGCCCTGAACCACCTTGAACGACACTGAACTACTTCAAATAGCCTTGAACGACCTTGAAAGACCAACATATTCTAGGTCAATGAATTCTTCTTGGAATGGTTAGGCGCATAGCTAAATGAAAGCATATAATCTATTGAAAAGTCAAAGGTCGTTTTAAAATTTCAAAGGCATATATTAGATAAAATTTATATAGATTGCAAGATATTCTTCTCAAAATAGAATAATTTTGATAAGAAATATTGATTCTTTGATTAAATTTTTATATTTAAATATATATTGAACATTTTTATTTTCAAAGATTTACAAAATAAATTATCATTAATTACCATTACATATGTCAAAATTTTATCATTTTTATTAAATCGATTAAAATCAATATATTACACAATTATATTAATCGTTACAACAAACAGATATATCTAATTAGATTAGATATCCATCTAATGTCGCAAAATAATAAATTATCTAAAATACAAAAAGAACGAATTAGAAAATGAATAAAAAAAAAATGAATAATTATCCCAATTAACAAAGAACAAAAATTCTGAATCATGAAAAGGAAAATTCCTAAGCATTTTTATCAATGTTTCCCAACTTGTTTCAAGTTACAATTTCTTTCTGTAATATTCAAATAACACTTACGACCCCCTTTTCTTTCATACAAAGTAAGAAAAATCGAGAGGATCATCTTGATATTTGTGTAAAATATAGTAATGCATATATTATTATATTTCTACTAAAATTAATAACTACTAAAAATTGTTAATTAAAGAAAAAAAAAATACTTTTTAACACATTCAGAGATCACAATGACTCACAAATTTGGGAACCATGGATTTATGATATTGGGTTATGGATCTTAACAATCCTTACTGATGAGTGCATTGGTAGGATGAGAAACGCTTTCTTTCTTTTCCTTTTCCGATTTTCCATAACTTAACTTCATTTACAAGCATCGCAGCCAGGTCAACTATAACCTGAAAGCTTGAATCATCCTATCTTACGTGTTCACCCAGACTACATCCCTCTTTTTCATAAATATAAAGAGAAACATGATTTCGTAGAAGATAGTCAATCGATGATCAGATTAGATAATGAAAAGAATTCCTCTTCATTGAAATAATCTGAAATGAATTAAGTAAAAAATTAAAAAAATTTTACTATATCTTGTATTGTATTGAATTAGCAAATCTGTAAAAGATCGTTTATTAATAAACTAATTTATTAAAATAAAATGAAAAGATGTATTTATAATGATTACACATAAATCTGATAAATAAATTAATTTGACTAACCACAAAGGAATTTGTCATATGATAATCTAGCTGCGTGAAAATGATAGATAAAAAGAATGAATAATTTTAACTAGAAATTAATATTACATTTATTAATATTCTAATCTTTTTTTTTATCTGACAAGATAATATAATATTTGCAAACAAAAATGGAAACAAATGCAAACAAATTCAATAATTAATATTGAATGGAATAATAAAATTTATGTATATTTAATGATAAATTAAGAATACAATAAAAAAAATTGAACATAAGAAATCTCATTTAAAACAACTCAACTCTCTGCAAACTTTCTTTCTCTCTCTTTTAACTCTACTCTCATTTCCAACTCTTTCTCAACTGACTAGTGCACGCATTCTTCGCAATCATTTATCCTTGCATTCTCGCACATTCTCTCCTCCTCTATTTCTCTATTTCCCTCATTCAGTGCAACTATTTCTAAAAGACACATTCTAAAATACATTGATCTAAAAGTTGATTATTATTATCGTCGATCCTTTGTTTACGATAATCAGAATATGATAATCATATTGTTCTTTGTAATTAAGAGATTACAGTAATTCACAAAAATCTTCATACATCCTATAAAAAGATTACTTTTATTAAAAATTTATATTTTATTCATGTTTATACATAGTCATGATATACTTATTTATTAATAAAAAAAATTTATATAACGCAATAATAAATTAATTCTGAATCTTCTTAGCATATAATATACAAATCTTGCAAATTAAATAGAATTTTATTTCAATTTTTATAGAATATATCAAAATTTTTGTGGATAACTAATAAATCAAATATTTATCATTTATTAATCTTGGTCATCTTTATGGTTTTTGAAAGGCTTTAATGTTGCTAAATTCTTAAGCTAAATCCATCAATTATGATATGATTCATTTACAATAAACTTTTATAATAAAGAAGAAAGTCGATGAGATTATCAAAACTGGAACATTTATCAGATAAGGAATTGCAATGAGAATAGATAAATATTATTATCTTGTTCACATCCGTTCTAGAAAATAATAATAACAAGAATAATGACAAAGATACACGTGTGATCTCACCAATTTTTAAAACTTAATTAAATGGTTAATCATAATAAAAAATATAAATAGTGATACATAGACTTGTAAAAAGTGTGGTGATGCATGAAATATATAGCTATTATTATACAACTACTATGACCTACCGTTGCAGAAAACTTGAACAAAAGAAAGAAAGCGAAATGAAGCGTGCGAATGGATCTAATTAATTAGATATATGTTCTTTTATTTTATTTTAAGTAACGTTAATTATAATGTCGTATCATGGTGGCCAGAATTTTTATAAAATTATTTGATTTAATATAATCAATATTTATAATTTCTCATGAGGAAAAACATTCAAGGATGCAGCAATTTGATGAAATTTTTGAAGGAGATAGTTTTAGTAAAAAAGTATTTTTTATCCATGATGATTTATATCTAGGTATACTTCTCTTTTTTTAATATTCAAATGGCTTTCTCTTTCTTTTTCTCCTACATATGACAAAAAAAATTTAAAAAAGAGTACAAAATCATCAGCTAAAAATGTTATTCTTTAAAAAACAACTTTCTAGAAGAGGATTCTGATTGAGGATTCTAAATCTATCAATGATCTATAGGGTTAGAGATATAATTATATTTTAATGAAAATTACTTACTTCTGTGACATCCATAACTTTAATGGCTGCCAATTGACCAGTTTTGGTATGTCGACCCTGAAATAAAATAAAAAATTACATAATTTATCCTTATAATTAAAATGAATAAAAAGCATTCTTTACATTTAATTTACATTCTAGGAAATATTATCCATTTAATTCATTTATCTCTTTCTAATTTTTATTTTTGTCACCTCAATTTAACTAATATTCCACATCACTTTCTCTTTCTGCAAATTTTCTTCAATATCGTATTAATTCGATCAACAAATATCTATCTGCATTCCCAACTCCGCCCCCGTACCTTCATCGTACCCCGTAAATTACCGCTTATCGCGAGTTATAGATACATATTTCAGAATAGAACTCGAAATAGCGGACGAATTCGAATTAACGATGCCTCTACGACGCGCCAATGCCTAAAATATATTCTCTAAAATATCAACAAGAAACATAGCAAAATTTCCATTGAGATTTGCATCATCCTCGATTACAAGCGGCTTTTATGCTTTTAAACAGAATTGGGGGCCGTGTAACAGGAGGAGATGCAGATCCATCGTGATCGTATCAATGAAGAAAATACATGTGAAGTAAGATAAACAATGTGAATAACGAAAAATCGTGAAAAGTTTCGCAATATAATAAACGGAGAAAAGAAACGAAGAGATCGGAAGCATACGTGCGAATATGTACGATTAATTAATTTTAAAAACGATTGAGTAAAAATGGAAAATAAAAAGTGAGAGTATAAAAGAGATAGGAATAATCTACAATTTATACGAAAATATACCGTGAAATATTATTTTCCTATGAGATTAAATTTTTATTAACGTTTCGTGCAAATATTGAATAAAACTGGATGAAATTATCAGAAGAAGTAATTAAGATTTTTTTTTTTTAATAATAATTTAATAAAAATGCGATTCGTTTTCGAAGCGGAAGAAAAAAAATGCATTTTTCGACGAATAATGACATCTAAAGAAAAAGAAATCGAAGAAATCATTATTATTCGATAATTTGCTTTACTATTTTTATCGACACGTAAGTTTTGAAGTGAAACGCTTCGTTGGAAAATAAAGATATGCACAACACGATATTTACTTTTTGCAGCCATTGTATATCTGATGAAGAATGAAGCACTGAAAACAAGTCACATTCATTGCAAAAATTATGGTAAATTCGTATCTCATTTAAGAAGAAAACCATGGGAACAAAAAGAGCTACAGCAATATGTTCCCACACGGAATCAACAAAGAATTTCATCCTTATGAATGAGGAGAAACATTTCCTCTTAATGTGCCAGTAATTACCTACTATAATACGATCGAAAATATTAGAAACTAATTTAATTTACTTACAATATAAATAAGAAATCTTTGTCCATAATTTTTTTTTCAACAAACATTCAATAATCATTAATATATCCGCGTAAAAAGAAGAAAATGAAAAAATAAATCAAATGTAAAAAAAAAAAAATAAGAAAAATGAAATGTCGTATGAAAATAATTTGAAAGTATACCCATTATTAAAGAAAATTCATTTTCAAACGGTAATTTTTTAAAGTTTTAAAATGAGATAAAATAAATGACCTTAAAAAAGTTAAAAAAAAAAAAAATCGATATTTTATTTTAGTAGCACATAAAAGATAAAATTTACATTATCATATTATACGAAATATTCCCGTTACTATAATCATTATTTTTCTTAAATAATAAATGAACGGATGGAAATGAATTTTTAATTAATTTTTTAAATAAAATACTATAATCGTATCAAAAAAAAAATTCAAGCATATGTGATTTTAATGACCTTCAAACTCATGCAAGGTCAAGAATAAATAAAATAATTTGAATATTTCATTCCATACCATTGCATTTAATCGTACAAATGTATTTCATATTGATAAGACCACATTGCACCTTCATTGTGATTGGCAAGAATACGTTTCTTAGATCTATGAATCACATTTTTCACGCATTTTTCACTTCTGCTAATTTTATCTCGAATATCGGTGGATACGCTTTGTAAATCATTTTGATCTCTAGACTAGGTATATCATAAATAATATTTTTAATACATTAAGGCCCAAATTTTGTAATTTTTTTAATACAACAATACATTTTTTAAATTTTTATAATACATTTGTATTATAAAATATTATAATACATTGTATTATATTATATAATAATAATAATAATAGTATAATCTATTGATGAAATTGAATTATATGGTACTTATCTGTAAAATTATTTTATTTATACATTATATAAATTTTTAACGATTATATATAATTCAATTATATGAGATTCTTAATAATATGATTTAACATAATGATTTTTCTAATATTTGTTAACTGATTATTCTATGAAAGACATAAATAATCGAGTACAAATTGACAACAGAGCGTTTAATCGTTTGTACTCATGCGCGTGGCTGTTTCATTCGTTCTATGTCGTCATCAATAGTAGGTCATCGCACTCTTCCTCATTCCCCCTTGTTCTTTATCATCGTACACACATACACGAAAAATAAGAATCATAATATTGTCCTCGTGTTAATATATAACAATAAAAAATTAATTTTTGACCAACACGATTAGTTATATCATAATAATCAAATTAAAGATGTATCATTCTACTTGTTATAAGCTTTGCATAAAATAAACAACCAAATTCAATTCATATCAGTACACTATAAAAATGTTAATTAATATATATAACTTAAAATATGAAAAAAATTTATACGTAGAGTAACATCATTATTGCTGGAATTTTCCTTGTTTTTTATATTGAAATATTACTAATACATTTTTTGCATCCTTTTAATTAAAATTTGCTTTTCATTGCATCATTTCTTTTTTTTTTTTTTTCAATTAAATATTTTATCAAAGATAAATTCGAATGAATTTTTTGAAATAAATAATTATCTTCTTTGACTGATTAGTTAAAATTTGTAACTCTTTTTTTCACAAAATTGAAAATACTAATATATATTTTTATATGATTTATGCATTTAAATTTTCATACAAAAATATCAGAAAATTGTAAAAATATTTTTTTATTGAACAATAATTTATTATTGATAAATTAAAATAACAACTATTTATTATTTTTAAATTCTTAGTAATGATACTTAATATATTTACATAATATATGCATATAAATAAAAATTATTCTATGAATTACATGTGAAGAAAATTGATCAAGGAAAAAATTTAGATATAACAGCTTTTTTCTCTAGCGTTTTTTATTAAAATCTTTGAATTCATATTAATTAATATTATTAATTAATATTAATATTAATTTATATAGTATCTTTGATCAATTTTTTAGATATTTTTCATAGATTTCTAGCATTTATCCATTACTTATTGGAAATAAATATAAAATTAAAACAAAATTTTGCTTGTATTTTCCTTGACTTTAAATTTAGTAATAAATTTTGTAAAAAATTATAATAATAGGAAGAGAAATAATGTTAAAATATATAGAACATTAACATTCTTTTATTTTGAAAAAATTTATGTATATAAATTTCTTTTAGCTTAAAAAAAAGAAAGAAGAATATATTTATATGAAACAATGATAACTAAGGTTAATATTTCAATTGTAGTACTTGAAAACTTATCAAAGCTAAAAATCGATATATAAACGAAACATAAACAAAACATGCATATGATAGCAGAAAAAACTATATCAAAAGTAAACAAAACATCCAATTGAAACATGAAAAAATCGAAAAATTAAAAAAAAAAAAATCAAAAAAGTAAAAATCAGAAAAACAATTATATATCTATCTACAAATTATCCAGGAAGAGATTCTGAAAAATGCATTAAAAAAATTTAATTGTCAACAATATCAAAATAATAATACACAAGAACAACTAATGGATTGACTAAATGAAATAAATAATAATTTTTCTTCATTTATTTTTATGATAAATATTTTAATACTTCTTATGTAAATAATATAACTTTTTTTTACTTATTACATTTAATTATTCTACTTAAAAATATTTGTACTATAGCATCAATATAAATTTTTTGATTCTAACAAATAAATATCAAATAATATCAAAAAAATTATGAATGGTAGTTTATAAATATTTTTGATGTGTATAAAAATAAATAAAATTAAAAATTATGAATAAATATAATACAAACAGAGAAAAAAATTATCATATAATATTCAAAAATTTGAATACTGGTTTATCAATAACTGAATATTCTTACTGAGATAAATTATTAGCTAATATTTATATACATTACCAATATAATTATTTTAAAATAAAATTTTAAAATAAAATTCTTTTTTATAAAATAAAAATCTAAAGTTACATTTTTTAAAATTACAAGCAATTTAAATGTTACGATATGAAATTAAGATTTAAATCAAACATGATTATTATTAAAAACATGATTGTTATATAATTAAATTTATTGTATTATTGTATTTATATAATTAAATTTATTGAAGTGTATATTTAATTATTTGATTATTGATATTATATTTGATTATTACATATGATTATTATTTTATTAATATTTTTTTTTCATTTTTTTATTTACAATTATATATATACATNTATATAATATATAACATGTTTAAATTTTTTAATGTACTTACTTTATAAACTTGACCATAAGTTCCATTTCCAACAACTTCAATTAATTCGAAGATACCTGCAGGTTCCTATAACATAATATATGCACATATTTTTGTTAAAAATATATTTCAGAATATATATAATATATAAAATATTATATATAAAATAAATAAAAAATTAAATAAAATTAAATATATTTAAATAAATATAACAATTTTTAATAATATTCTGTTCCAATATTAATAAGTAATTTATTATAAAAATAAAATTACAGAGTATTATAATTAAATATTTCTTAATTTAAAAATATATTTATTAAAAGACATCAAATATAAAATCAAATATAAAATATTGTTTATTTTATTATTGTATTATATTATACTGTTTATTATTGTTTTATTATTGTATTTTATTATTGTATATTTTGTATATTGTATATTATTGTATATTTACTTAATTCGTATATGAAAATATATTGGTATTCACGCAATATATATCGTGTATGTCATTCATGATATAATATGATAAAAAAAAATATATTTAAAATAACAAATTCATAATCATAATTATATATTTAAATATAATATAATATTAAATATAATTATATATTTAATTATATTATTATTTTAAATAAAAATTAAATATTATCTTTTCATAATAGTGTTCGATTTAATTTTTTGATAATTATATAAAACACTTCGAAGTAAATGAGATATAAAAATGTTGTAAATAAAATAACTTTGAATTTTTTCAATTTGACAAATAAGAAATATCACGATTTTTGAAAAATTTAAAAAAATTATTCTTTCATTTCTTTCTTTATATTATACTATTACCAAGAAATAATAATCATCGTTTATTCTTATGAGGTTAATTATGATGTCTGTGTTTATATAGGATATAAAAAGTAATTTTTATGTCTTTCTAACAATAGTTGCTTTTAAATGTTAGATCTATATTTGATAAATAAAATACATTAAAAACTCTTACATACTTTCAAAGCATTCAGATCAATGTCGTCGAGCGAACAGTTGACGCTCGGTGCCAAATTATGCGCCATCTTGATACGCCACTTGCGCTCCTTATGAGATATCTTTCCTACTTAAACTCAGCAAATCCACCGTCTATCCTCTTTTCTATTCTTCCCGTTATTGTTCTTATTTTGACTTTCAATTTAAGCCATATAAAAATTTAAAAATATAAAAAGAAAAAATTACTCGTTGCACTTACACTAACACAAAACACTAGGATCACTAATATAAATTTTTATTAAAATAATTCACCGGCAAACTTATTAAAAGAATATTTTTATGAAAATTTAACCGAGTACGATCCAGAGAGAAAGGAAATACACGTAGAGCAATGGCACATGGCGTATGAATAAATTCTAACGATCAACGAAGAAACAGTCTACCAATCAAATTAGAAAATAATAAACCTCCATCACGTTCTTTCTGAATTTTTCATAAAATATAAATGTCAATAATGGCAAGTAACACGGTCACAGCGCTAAGCGCTGGATTATCGTATCGTCATAACGGATGCGGCACAACCGAGCCGAGCCCAAACACCACGGCAGCGGCCGTTCTACGTCCTGTCGTACTGCTTGCTGCACGCCTCTATTCTCCCTCCTTTGCACCCTCTTACTATCTTTTTCATTCTTAGGCGTGCGCATACATGCTTTTCTGTTCTCTCTTCTTAATACTGACAATGTTTTCACTGTCTTTGTTTTCGTGTGCTATGTGATTGTACATCACTACTCTTTTTGACGTCATCCAACACGCTAAACTATAATGGCGGCAAGTACTTCCCTTCCTAATATTCTTATCATAAAATAAAATTAATCAAAAAATAAATTTGTTGACATTTTATTTTATTCCTATTTCTCAATTATATTTAATGAATATGATTTATCTTCATGATATCATGTATTTCATGAAATTTTTTTTTATATAAATTAAGTGAAATATTTAAACAATTAAAAATAAAAAAAATGATGACGTTTAATATTTTCATTGATAATTAATGTTTAATACATTTAAATAAAGACTCCAATATATTTAAAATAATATATGTTATATGTTATAAATAATAAATATATGTTATAAAAAGAATATGTTTATTACAATATATTTCTTTTTGTAACATTTCTTTTAAAAACAATTTCATATTATTTCAGAAAATATAAGATTTTGATATAATGATAACAGTATACTTACATATAATTTTGTAATTTAGTTATAACTATACACAAAATAAAATGAATATTATTTTACAGTATAATTACAATTTATCATTTATATCTATTATAACATTATAAATAAGAATTAACATATATTTACTATATGTACAATATAAAATACAGCAATATATTTTTAATTAGAGACCTTAATTAAAATTCAATTAAATCAATTTAGAATTATTTTCATAATAGTTAATATCACAAAAAATAAAAGTTTAAATTTCAAAAAATTCAGAAATTTCACAAAATGCAAATTATGTTTCCATAAATTTTGTTTAAAAATATTTTTTAAAAATATTCAACACAAAGCAGCTAATTTTCGTACTGTGTTTAAATCTCGAACAAGCATTTGAACTGTTTGTTTAGTTCGAGGTTGAACATCTGAGGTAGATGAATCTTCAGGATCCATGGCTTCTAAAGCTAAAAAAATATATTAAATATTAAATAATTTTTTTTATAATATATAATGAAGTTGAACGAAATTTACCAACCACAAATTTCTGCCTCAATATATGTTAATTTTGCATCTATATGTTTTTGAAAATGTTCTATATGTTCTAATAATCGCATTCGGCATTCTCCTGGATCAATTGGCGCTTCTGGTTGTGGTATAAAAGGTTGTAACGGTGTTGACATTTCATGTTCATTTTCTTCCTCATGCATGTCATTTGCTAATGTATTTGAGATAAATACATTATTTTCAGATAAATTTGATTGATTGGTTAATAAATCTAAATGTGAAAAATAAATACTATTTTTCAATTATAAACAAAGATTTAAGATTTTTTTTCTATTTTTACCTGTATTTGTCTTAATTTCTGAAGATATTGAATTTTTATATTTGGTTTCAATAGTATCATTTTTTGTAAGTGCATCAAGAAGAATATGACTCTTATTTTGATGTACGAAGTCTTCTTTTTTACCAGTATTTTTAGACTCATCTGAAGTTATATTATCTTCTTCTAATATCTTCATTAATTCTGAATCTGAAGCTATTGATTTTTCATCATGATCATCTTTTAAATTGAATTTCGTTTCGGTTTTTATTTCGATTCGATGAGAACTTTCACTTGTAGTGTCTGTACAATCTTTTCCTGATTTTATAATTTCCATAATTGGTACTGGTGTCATATTTGGTTTTAATACTTCAATTTTCTCCCAATTTTTAGCCCAAAGATACAATTTTGGATGATCTTTTTTTCTTATTATATAAATTTTTATTATAATTAATAATTTTTCGTATTTTTTAATTTGATATGTATATTGCAATACATAATTATATAATACTTACTGAGCTACATTAATTTTCACCCTTAAACTGTGCAAAACTTGTTGTATTTGTAAAAGTGCTGCAACTAAATCATAAGAACGCTTTAACATAGCTGTTCTTTCATTAACTCGATGCTGATTTTTTGTTCGATTAGATAACGTTGGTAGTTTTCCCTCTTTTATCCAATCTTGATCATGAAAATATCTTTTGGATAACCGTTGTCGATATGGATTGCGACAAATAAAACAAACATATTTTTCAGGTACATCTTTCTCTTTTTCTATTGCATTACAATGACCATGTTGCCAACATAAACAAAGATCACACTGTATCATTAAACCATCTTCTTCCATAAATCCACAAGTACAATTTATTATTTCTTCTCTACGAAGTTGTTCCACTTTTACCATTTCACCATTAATCATCATCATAACACCATCATTATCTACAAAAATTTGTTTTTTATTACAAAAAAAAAAAAAAAAAAAAAAAAAAAAGAAAAAAAAAATAACTATTTTTCACTCTGAGATGAAAAATAATCTATATAAATATATTTTTAAATTAAAAAAACTACTGAACAACTGAAATAAATATTATTATATAAATAATACCAAAATATAAAAAATAAAAATATAATTTCTGAATATAGAAATATTTTTAAATCCAAATCTAAGATTGATATAAATTTCAATGATATAAAATAAAATAAAAAAAATAAAATAAAATAAAATAAAAGAAAAAATAAAGAATATACCTTCGCCATCATTAGTATCTTTTTTACCAATATTTCCTTTCAAGGAATCATCTTTTTCAACACGAGAATCGTTTAGTTGACCTAAAGAAAATAATAAAACTAGAGCTACTTTTATTACAAAGAAATAAATAGCAAAATTAAAAAAAGTAGCATTCAATATAAAATTATAATTATTTAAAATAAAAAATAACTTACTACTTTGACTATTTTCATCACTTCTTGAATCTGATTTTCTACGACTATATCTATACATAAGTGTAGTAGGTATCCCTCCTTCCAAATCCATCGCACTATCATCCAAATCACCGTATTCATCTGTAAATTCTTGAATACCTATTATAAAATAATATTTTTACTTTTAATTTATTAAAATAATTAAAATAAAATAAATACTTTATTATATGTACCATGTCGCTTTTTACCCTTATTTGATATATCAGAGCTATATTCTGATAATTGTCGTTTTCTTTGACCTTTCAATTTGTCAATATGAATAGTCTCATCTAAAGATTTTGATCTATCTATTCTCTGTGCTTCGGAAGATACAGCTGGTCTTATTGGAAGTAGAGTTTTAATTCCACTTTGCGTTTTTTCTTCTCTAGTTTTCAAATCAAATAATGTTCCAGGTGACATTGCACACGTATCTTCCCGTTTTTTCTCGATTTCATCATGCATATCTAAACTGTGACTAGAATTTGGAGACATTCTTTCTATTTTAATATCTTCTGTTTGCATATCATTACATTTTTCTATCTGATCTATTTCATCCTCTATTTCTGTTCCTATTGGTATAGTTACTGTTGGTGATGCAGGTTGAATGGTATTTGTTACAGATGGTGATGAAACATATAATGATCTATCTTGAATAAACTTTCTTTTTCCAAATTTATTACATTTTTCTATCAAATTATTTGACTTTTTTGGAATAATATCTTCAACAGATTCTCCAATTGTTCTTGCATATGCTAAATCTGCAACATTTGGAGTACATCCCAAAAATTTTGAATATTCTGGATGATAATGTTTTATATGCATTTGTAAAAGATTTTCTTTTCGAAATGTTTTACTACATCCCTCTTTTGGACATTTATAAGCACTATCTTCCATTTCTACTCGAAGTCCACCAATAAAAACAGCTGTTAACAAATAAAATTAAAAATTATATTTTAATGACATTAAAGAAAATTTATATATTCTTCTATTATTATAAATAATATTTATTTGTAAATTTGAATTAATATTTATTTGACTATTTGATTTTATTTAATTTAATACAAAAACAATACAATTTATTTATTAATACTCACAATAAATTACTCCTAATACATGTAAGCATAAAAAAGTGAACTCAATAAAATTTGATGAATTATATAAAAATACAATAGAAAAATGGAATCTTACCACCATCTGTAATAGATGTAGTTGATGTAGATACTAAAGTTGTAACTGGTGTGTTTGTAGGAACAAGCAAAGAATTGTCAGTTACTGGAGTTGCCTTTGTTTTAGGTAATAATGTTTTTATTTTTTTAGGAGCATCCACAATAATATCTTGTTTTATTTTTTGATTTTGGTTCTTCTTTTTCCGATGAATACAAAAATCAAATTTTTCAGGATCAAAATCAAATTGTCCTTGATTTTCCATGAATGCCCTAATATCATTTTTTGATCTAAACTTTTTTCCACTAGATTTATGAAGAAATAAAACATCCCATTTTCCAGCAGATGTACCAGCTTTCCTTTGAGTAAAATGTTTTTGCCATCCAGGTGGTAATCTTTTATCTGCAACTATTATTGATCGACGTGGTCCTACAAAAATAAAATGTATCATACATTTTATTTATCAATGTCATTATATTATATAAAAAAAATAACAATATTTAATAACAATTTTTTTCTTTTGACATACCATCATTTCCATCTACTATATAAGATTCAGTTCCTTGTGGTTCTCCATCTACCCATTCAGGTCCTACATCTTCTATCAGATCTATGTCATTTTTAGATACTTCTTTTTTATTTTTTTTGGAATAAGCTTTTAGTTTTGATACATTAGTATCAAATCCTCGTAATAAATCTGTGCCTGGATCATAACAAGGCCCAAATAACGTACCATCCAAGTCAATTTTATTTTCTGAAAAGATTTCTGCATTTTCATTAACTGTAATTCCTTCCTTTTTTGTTAATTTATCCGTTTCATTTTTTGAACGTTTTCTATAATGCGTATGAAATAACTCCATCACTGTATGTTTCCTTTTTTTATCTCTTCTTTCTTGTTTGCTTCCTATGTATTCTTCAGTTTGACTAGATTGCTATTATAAACA